GATTGATTGATTGATTGATTGATTGATAGATAGAGCTCAAATACAGCAGGTTTGTGTGCTTTTTAGCACACTGTGATTTTTAAAATGAGCATACGGTGAATAATTTTGACTAATTCGTTCTTGTCTTCTGCTTTGTATGAATATAATCTTTAATTAATTTGATCTCCTTGTTCATGCACAATAGCTGTCAGCCTTTCTCTCACTGTGATAAAAAGCATCCTGCTGTTCATTTAATTGAACTTTTATGCAACTGTAGAGTCAGACAATTTTTATAGGGTTGATCAGGCTGAGACCATTATTTTAATTGGGGTGGCACAGAAGCTGACGTCTTGTTAATTAAGAGCCAACTTTTTTGGTCACTCACTTGCAAAATTCGCTTGTGTGCATGCATGACTACCACGTAGAAGCCCAGCATAAGGAGTCACATTATAGTAAGCTTTTTGTGTAACTATAAATAGCTTTTTTATTGACAATTAAACATTTCCTTACTGTTTATAAAGCTCAAATGATAGATTTAAAACATGGCCGTATGGTAACAAGAGTAAATTTCTTCTGACAATCATGCTTAAAATTTTAATGAGCTTCACTATTAGTTGTTTGGTGGCCACTGGTCAGACTCCTAAGAGAACATGCAAATGATAATTGTGTACAGTCATACCACTTTGATAGGCACAAGCACAACCCATTGTTCCTAAGTGGCATGAGCCAGTCTCAGGGGCAAATGAGACTGCGTCATTTTTTACACTGAACAACAAGTTGCCATTTCAAATAACAAGTTAGACCATTTTAGATGTAGATGTAGACAGCATAACAGAACCATAGACGTATAATTTACACAGAAATTTATACTTATCATCAGCATATGCAAAGCATTCATTGTATTACACAATAGCAGACTACAGTCAGTGTTATGAAATTCTTTTTCAACTCTAACTTCCAGTTGGGAACTCTTAAGATGTGAAATTTTGTGTCTCTTTTCTAGATGACATCATAGAGAGACAGATAGAGGAAGGCATGATATCTCCTGATCTCAGAGAAAAGATCAGTTTTGTCCTGCTGAGGAAGCATCGACACCAGACCAAGAAACCGATCCACCGTTCCTTTGCTGACATTGGCAAGTCCAGCTCTTCTACCAGTGAGTGACCCAACTTGTGACACAGATTGACCTGCCCTGTGTAGCTCTGTGTGAATAACCCATGAGAGACCGATATTCTAAGTATAGCAGGGGTGGGTGATTCATTTTCTCAAGGGACCACATGACAAACCGAGACTGTTGGGGAGAGGCGCAGCAGTAAGCTGAACTCATTTCTGCTCAGTGTTAATTTTATCTCATTATAAACGACTACTAGTAAGAGTAGATGTTATAATTTGGCCATAATTGTGGCTCATTGGGAAAATTGATTGCTCATTCCTAGTCTATAAGATAACAGGTAGTTGACCTGCCAAAGTATTACATCAGCTTGAGTTTTCCCTGACTGATAATATTAAACACATTGTTGGAGAGCTAGCATTATGAAATGCCATCACATGAAACAACACTGTGAATCCCTAATTATAGCAATTCTTTTTCTTTGCCGTTGGCTTCATTCTGGACTGACATGTAATTTTGATGCTACTGAGAAATAAATTATGCATATATTTAACTCACTCACTGAATGAATGAACACTCTTGAGTCAACAAGGCTCATATCCTCCACAGGGAACGTATTAATGTTTGATGAGTTAATTACCACTCTAGCATTTCCACATATCATCAAGACAGGGCACATGGTGTTCAATAAATCATAAAGCATCACCTCCAATCACTGATTCTGTTGTGTTTCTCTTCATGCTTCCCTTCCCATGGCAGATCGGAATGTTGGACCCCGAGGTGGAACGGGTCCAGGGCAAATGGCCAACTTCAACAGGTCCACAGAGGACCTCCGAATAAAGCAGCAGCCAGCAGCCAACTATGGCCGCCTGCGTGAGTGTCAGGTTTTGGCTTGTGAAGCCGGTTGATGTTTTTTCAAAATAAAAGTCATTATATTTTTTCTTGTTTTAAGAGCACTGTAAAGAGTCAAAGCCTATATAACCATAACTGTATCATCCTACAATCTCCAAATAACACATTATAGTTTCACTTGTAGATTGCTGTTTAACATTTCTGCATATGTGAAGACTGAATAAATAAATTCAGGACACCAAGCTCAGATTGTTAGCTCATATTTACAGACCAATCAGTATCCTCTGAGCACATTTATGTACTCAGAGGATACTGATTTGTCAAAGCCATCTCTCCTAATTCTGGATTTTCATTCTAACACATGGAAAATTTGCTCTTTGGTGATTCTTGAGCATAAATAAGGACGGGAAAAAATAGACATTAAGAGTGACTACTTCATGGCTGTCATGGGCTGGGTCTGTGACCCAGCATTTTGAGTTCATGATATTGTTTATTTATGGGGAAATGTTAAGTTCTTGTTTTGTATTATTAGTTAGAACTTGAGGATTCATGTTTTGCTATTTTTTGTTTGGGTTTAGCTCATCTAGCTCCCATAAAACCCCTAAGTGGTTCAGCCTTGGTGCTGTTATTGGATCCCCTCATTTCCCCTTTCCCTGGGCTTTGGTCCCACCTGCCCTTTGTGTTTCATGTCTCATGTGTCAAGCCCATGTTGTTTGGTCTGCCTCATCATGTTCTCCTGTTTATTTTGAAAGTCCAGTTTTCATGTCATTGTGTTTGAGTTTACATTTCCTGTGCATCGTTATGTTCATCCTTGTCAGCTGTTTCCTCATGTGTCTCGACTTCCCCTGATCACCTCATGTGTGTATTTAAGTCCTATGTTTTCTATGTTTCGTTGTCAGGTCGTCTGTTTGCATCCCCATAGTGTTTTGTCATAGTTTACTCAGTGTTCATAGTTTTGTCATAGTATTTTCACTGAGTTTCTTAGTCCTTTAGTTTCTGAGTGTTCACAGTTTTCTTAGTTTTCGTTTCAGTGTCTTTCAGTGTCTGCTTCTGGGTCCTGTAAACTAAACTTATCGGCGCACCCCGCCGTGACAATGACCTCATATGGTGGCATTCATAAGAGAATCAGATTGACAATATAGTGTAGATGAAACTGAGATGATGGGGAAAATGGTGGACAGGAGGGGAAAGCAGGTCAGAAAGCAATGAACTGAAATGACGCATTATTTCATTGATCAGTAAAATGCACACACATGCTGACACAAAAGTACTGTCAATAAATGACAGCTTTTTTGATTTTTAGAGGTATTTTTACTTTTTCAGTTACATGGATATCACATAGTGCACCATAGATAATTATCCTTCAGTGTAGTGAACGATATATCGTAATAGTATTGGGCCCCTGGATTCCCACCTCTAATGACAAGAATTATGGCTGCTGAAGTATTCAGAATTCAAATAGTGATATATATATATATATATATATACTGAAAATAACAAGAAAAAGTGTTCAGAAAAGAAACATCTCGTTTCAGCAGTTTCAGTCTGTGATTTTTCTCAGAGATTCCCCATCTTCTGCTAAATAAAGCGGGTGATTTATGCTACAACTTGAAATTACTTTTTTAAAGATTGATTTCCAAGACTTACATTATCCTACAAGTTACACCCAGTGTGGTTAAACTGAAAGTGAAGGAAATGGGAAAAGTAGCACCAAAAGAACAAAAAATACAAAAGACAAACTGTTTCCTGATTTAAAATGATGATCTCCAAATACATTACAATGCATTACAACTTTGCAATACACTCTATACCTGGGGTGGCCAACTCCAGGACTCGAGAGCCGGTGTCCTGCAGGTTTTAGATGTGTCCTTGATCCATCACAGATGATTTAAATGGCTACATTGTCTCCTCAACATTTTTTGAAGTTCTCCAGAGGCCTGGTAATGAACTAATTATTTGATTCAGGTGTGTTGACCCAGGGTGTTATCTAAAACCTGCAGGACACCATCTCTCGAGGCCTAGAGCTGGCCACCCCTGCTTTATACTATATACAATATACTACAGCCTTTACAACCTTTGTAAAGACTTTATGGCATCTGTAGTGCATTAGACTGTGAAGATTTACCCAATAGCTGTATCTCATAGAATTTATGTGCCAGTTATCAATTTCAGGGCTGAAATGATTCCAAGTAAGTGGATATAAAGAGTAATAACTGTATAACTGTCCCAACCTCGCAGGTCACGCCCAGAGCAGAAGTATGAATGATATTGCGGACACTCCAAGCACAGACCAGGTGAGTTATTACTGAAACCAGCTCATTACATTCAGTATGTCAGGGATACAGCCTTCACATGTGTAAGTGTGTTTTATAGTTGTGTGGCTTTGGTTTGATCCTGACAATGACCAAATTCATGTTCCTGTCTTTTCTACTGGCAAATGTCTATCTGTCTGCACTGAGGGAATCTCTGGAGGATACATTTATTTCCACTCTGTTGCCTTTCATTATTGGACAGATTGCCTACCAGTAAGGCATTTCATTGTATTGAATTGCTGTTTCTTCATCACTCATCAATTTTTCATTGCAGCTGCTCGCTGAGGTGGCATCAAGTGACAGAGAGAGTGTGCAAACACATAACTCACTCATTAGTGAAGCTGATGCAGTAATGGGAGTTAAACCTGGCGACGCATGCCAGTGCCGCTGCAAAGGTGTCCTGATGTCACTTCGATTAGTCTACAGGGCTTTGTAACTGACAGGTCAGATTATGTGTCATTCACTGGGAGGGATCGTGTAAAAAAAAAGAAATGAATGAGAATTTAAAGGGTGCTATGTGGGCCACAAAATTTGTCTGTGACAGTCGGCAGAGGGGCCAGCACTGGTTGTCCAGTTCCGAGGGCTCTACTTATCGTTTGGCTGGCTGTTCAAATTCTATTTTGAGGTCTACATCGGTCGCATGTGACTACGGACAAGCGATTGTTTATTTTGCTACACTGTGTATTTGCGCTTGTGTGTGCCACATTTTCTGTGTCGATATTGAGCTGGCACTGAGAAAAAGATGGATTTCACTGTCGGTCCATCAGTCCACGTGCTTTGCTCTCACGTGGAGCCACAGATTCGGGTTATGTGTTGTTGAAAAGGCTCTCCACTACTCTGTGTTATTGTGCATCAGTCCAATTTCCTGCCGCACCTTTAGATGTAATCAAACAGGTCAGACTGGTTCACCTTTTCAGGTCACAGGCAATTGTTTTGCCTCTCTGATTGTTTGTGTGTAATTCTTTAAGGATTTTATGCCCACTTAACTACACAGGATTGCATTTAAAAAACGTGCTCCCGGGCCAATCTGCCAGGTTTTGAGAGACTGTAATGACAGAATGAAACTTTAATGATCTCTGTAGGTAGATCCAATCACTACACCTACTAACACCGTCACAATAAAAGCACACATCTCAGTTACAGCAGTCTTTGTCTTAACATCCTCCTAACTGAAAAATGACTTTATAAGATAAACTTAAACAGCTGGTTCAGTATTATTATATTATTTTCACTTTGGTGTCGTACATGAGAGAATAGAAGACTAATAGATTTTTTAAAGTTACACAAATGATTTTGTAAGAAGTTTATTTTCTGTATGTTCAGTTTAAACTATGAGAGCGTGACAGTAATACATATACGAAACTGAAGATTGCCACAAGATGCAAAAACAAAACAATTAAACATGTAAAATGAAATATGAATACCTCAGAACAAAGTCTATTACATGTAGGAATTACACATATTCTACCATGCCGATATGATAATGCTGGACTGCGTTCTCCCTTTTTTCTGCCTTTCTTCTGTAGTTGAAAAATAAATTCATGAAGAAGATCCCCAGAGACGCGGAGGCTTCCAATGTCTTAGTGGGCGAGGTAGACTTCCTCAACAAACCTTTTGTGGCGTTTGTTCGCCTGGCCCAAGCTACAACTCTAGGAGGTCTGACAGAGGTCCCTGTTCCCACCAGGTAAAAATCACTACAATATGTCATTGCCCGCCAACCAACAACAAACATCTGCAGTCCCAGAACATACCTCACATTTGTTTCCTCACTCTACAGATTTCTGTTTATTCTGCTGGGGCCCCAAGGAAAGGCCAAGTCCTATAATGAGATCGGCAGAGCAATAGCAACTCTAATGGTGGATGATGTAAGTGCCTGTCACTGTGTGTTAAAATCCTTCCATAGCATGCGTTCTTCATTAGACTTGACAATCTGACGCTGACATTTCTCAGGAAACCTGAGCAAAGATAAATGTAAAGATTCTTCACAGTTCCTGTAAAGGACCTGTTCAGCGTTCACTGGCATGTCCAGCATTATGTTTGGAGTACGTCTGGAAGTGATGTTGATTGTTAAGCATCAGCTATAAGTGGGGTTTCTATTTGGATAATGAGTCGTTAATTGTTTTCTAATGGCAGCAGTATTCTCTTCCCTGAAAACAGTTTGAGCTGTTATTCTGTGTTGTGTCACCAAGTTACTGTGTGTCATTTTAATAGCAGATACAAACAGTAAGGAAGTGACAGGCTGTTATTTTAAATGAGTCCGAGTGCAAAAGAAGCACATTTCCCATCCACAATTAAAACATGATTATAGGTTTGTGGCTGGTAATTTGAAGCTGACCTATTATTGAGTATAGACAATAATTATGTGGCATCTCAACAGGAGTTCAATCTCACCTCTCGTGCCACACTGACAAGGCAGTGCTGGTCAAATTTAAGAGCAGAACATGTTTATGTGTAACGCTTTATTTAAACCTGTTCAAAAACCAAGATTAGGTCAGCAGCTGTCAGTCTCTTCCCATAATACAGACAATATTCCATTAAGTAAAAGCATTCAAATTCCTACTTTAGTAAAAAAAAACAAAAAAACTTTTCATTAAACAAATTTTTATAACTTAATTCGTTAAGTAATACATGACTTAACAGTACCAGTCAAGATATTGGACATTCACACTTATGGGTACACAGCTCTGCCACCACACAGCTGCAGCTGTCATGAAACTCTAGGTATGCGTCATTGCAATAGCATGATTGGCTCATATTAACAGATTTCTACTGAGGATTCTTTGAGTGCCGTGCTTCTCTCCTACAGGCTCTCATGTTCAGTTATTAGGCTTAACTTTGATGACTTTGGCCATGTCCTGTCCTTTCAGTATAACACTTTTGTGCAGTTGATAATTATTATTTGCTGTAAAGAACTGGATTTACTCAATAATAATAACTAGCACTAGCATTAACCTCTGATTGGTGCTAAACACCCCCCACCCAATCCTGTGGCTTGTCATGTCTTTCACAAAGTTGTGCTGTGGCATTTATGTGCTTTTTGTGCAGAGGAGTTTTTTTGTTTCCTGTTCTCATGCTGTCCTATCATGGAAGCACAGCATAAGTAGAGATCTTTTTTTTTCCTCTTGTACTTTCCCACTGTAGTGTATATATCAGTGTTTTTCTGTAACGCTACCGATCTCCGACTTGTATCCCCATGTAATGTCTGTGTTGTGTGTGTAAGGTCGGGGGGGTCCCATTTCACTGCAGGGCAACCTGCATGTGGCGAATAAAGCTTTGATTGATTGATTGATTGATTGATTGATTGATTGAACATTAGCATGTTTAACTAAGACGGTGAGCATTTACACCACTGCACCGGCTAGATTTAAGCATGCTAATGTAGTCATTGTGATTATGTTAGCTTTCTCTTAAGAACACAGAGTCAATAGTGCTGGTTATACACATTCATTGACTCTATAACATTAGCATTACAGTCGAACTGTATTGCTAATTTTTCGTAATCTTCTTAATAGCAAAATGTCCTTTTGCTTGAAGTTATTTTACTACTGTATGTGCCAACAACTAACTGTAAAGCATCTGTCCTATGTAGAAAATAGCCTGTGCAGTCATTAGCTTGATTTAACTCAACATGGCAGCACCACGAAAAAGGGCTCTGACGCATCTAATGACTGTTCTACAGATCAAAACCAAGTTAGGCTATTTGAAGTGTAGTTAGATGGATAAAATCAATAAAGTACCACATCTACTATTTGGAAAAGATTTCTGAATGGGGCCAGTGCCCATTAGAACATTTTCACTGCCAATTAGAACCACTGCTTGATTTTTTCCCCCTGTTGTTGATACAGCCTTATTTGGAAACATATAATGCTTGTGCACACTAGTCTCTATGGGCATGATTAGTGGCTGACTGGCAGTTATTCTTGAATTGAATCCAGCTGAGGACAAATGTCAATATAGCCTTAACAACCAATGTTCAATATGTCTCCATCAAAGGTGACAGGCAAACACAGCTTATTAGGGCAGTACATACTTATTACTATTACCAAGAGAAACTGTAAAACCTTTTCCTTTTATTTCTCTGTCTTCCTCCCTCCCAGCTCTTCAGTGACGTAGCCTACAAGGCAAGAGATCGGGAAGATCTTATTGCAGGAATAGATGAGTTTCTGGACGAAGTGATTGTGCTTCCACCTGGGGAATGGGATCCCAAAATCCGCATTGAGCCGCCTAAGAAGGTTCCCTCGGCTGAAAAAAGGTTGGGGATGTCTAACCGCCTGAGTAATACATATAAAGGTCAAAAAGCTGTAGTTGAACAATGTGCCAAGAGCAATTGCAAACTATACTAAGATCGTTTAGGTCAAAATATCTAGTTACAGAAAAATAAAATGTTCTCTGAAAGAAAGGGTGAAATTGTGCCTTTCAGTCAGCAAGTACCAGGTTGCAAGGTTGAAACAGCTTATAGACAGACCATTCGAGTGAATAAATATATGTGAAAAAAGTTTAAATCTCATATTTGCTCACATGTGTGGCATGTACGTGTCCTTTGCAGGAAGTCAGTCTTTTCCCTAAATGAGCTGGGACAGATGAACGGCACAGCTGGCGGAGGAGGAGGCCTGGCAGAAGACGAGGAGATGCCAGTTCAGCATGAGCTTGGAGAGGAGCTGGCATTCACTGGACGGTAGGCAGCCCGGGCCGCGTGGCAAACTGCTGAGAGGTTTAGACTAAACACAAGCAGACTCTGGGAATTGGAATATGGCCTTATCAAAATTTGGCAGAATGGGCAAGTTATTTAAGCACACCTGTCCTAAAAAAATGCCAATACTTCCTTATGAGTAGCGTGGCTGTAGGTACAAAAGTTAAACTATTGTAAAATGGACATTACTGGATTGCCAGTTTCAGCTGTGCCTGCAAAAAGAAAGAAACAAAGAAAATGGAACATTCCTTGTTTTGTTTTCTTGTTTTGTTTCAGAGTAGAAAATGTACTATAAAAGGATAAGTATGGCTTTATCCAAATCCAATTTGCCAATGATAGCCTAAGAAAATATCAAAAAAATCTTACCTGAGAGAGTAGGTTTCAGTGGTAAGTAGTGCTTACACAAGTCAAAACACAGAAGTGACTTTTTAAACTTGGAGAAAATAGACTTAAAAGCAACAAGCAGTGACCTCTCCTGCCTGCAAGTATAGATGTCAAATCACTGTGTAAGTGATTCATGGATATAGTCTCTGCTTTCTTGCAGAGAAAATACTGAGAAATACTGCTGAGAGGCGGAGTGTGTGAAGCATCCTAACCAACTGTGTCGGTTGTTGTTGTGCAACAGGTTCTGTGGGGGTTTGTACTTGGACATAAAGAGGAAATTGCCATGGTTCCCTAGTGATTTCTACGAAGGGTTCCACATTCAGTCCATCTCCGCTGTGCTTTTCATCTACTTAGGATGCATCACCAATGCCATCACCTTTGGTGGGCTCCTTGGGGACGCCACTGACAATTACCAGGTAATGCCGAGTGCCGTAATAACGATTTGTACATTTGGAGAAAGCACTGTTTGCAGTGCATTGCAGCTGCTACTGCTGGAAAGAAAATTTGAGCTACCCAGATCGATAGTAAGCATCGAAAACAAAGCATTGTTTATTTAAATCACAGCATTTGTGACAATTTCTCAAAATCACCAGGGAAACAGCTCTTTGTGGCTCGTAGCCGTCTCTTGTTTGTCATTTCCCTTCCCTCTGTGGACTGCTATGGGATGAAAATAGCATTAGACTTAATCAGTGATTTGAACAATAAATCTTTATTTTTGTAATTTATTATAGATCCCAAACAAGCCCAAACAGATGGGGCAAAATCACAAGCTCACAGTTTTTGACATAAAAGGAGCCAATTAAATCCAGTAGGTGCCATTTCTGAAATTGTCTTAATCCTTTTCCCGAAGTATCAAAGCCTGGTGGGAGTTTCAACCTTGTTCATTAAAACAAGTCATCCTCCAAGCCAGCCCCTAGCTTTGTTAAGTTTGAATCAAAATATCAGAAACTCTGAAACATACACATGTCATATTTTACATCTCTCTGCTATTAGTACATTGCCGTGCCTGTGTAGTTCATGCTGTTCTGACTTTTTCTCTCAGTCCTTCTTTCTATGAGTTTGATCTTGAATCTCTTAATCTTTTAACTAACTATATACAAAAAGTTCTGTATATTGTTGCCAGTGTTCAACAGAGTAAATGCTTTAACATTAACTGGTGTTATTTAGGGGAACTGAATTGTGATTTTTGTTTTTGAAAAGACATTTCATTTATTTGTCATCATGATGTTTTTTTCCTCAAAGCAGACGTTTAGAGATTTCCTGTAATTTCATTGAAGATAATCAGATTATTTTTGATGTACTTTGCTAACGTCACTTTAAACCCCTTAATAAAGTTCCTTAACAAGGAAGGCAGAGAGCCTTTAAGTCTAGACAGGGACTGAACTCCAACTGAGTACAATTCCACAGAAAGTAAGCATTACATTGTTAAAAAATCTTAAAAATGGTGGAGCTCCTATCTGACCGGTAGAAAGCTTCTGACAAACCTTTTTTTTCTGTTTCTCGTCTCTTGTCGTTTGAATATAGAAATGCCCTTTATATATGAGGAGAAACATCCTTTTTATTTATAGTGATGGCATTAATGATACCCTACAGGATTAAGAGGTTATCATATGTTTTTATGTTTTCAAAATTCTTGTTGCGACTGGAGAAAAGTTGATCTTGCAGGAAGACTTAAGGTAAGTGACGTCTGTGTGTGGGCCTGGAGACTGCACCTTGCTTTGATCGCTTTAATTGTTCCCGGATTTTGATGAACCTGGTTGTAAAAAGTCTTTAAAAAATAATTTTAACATTTTGAGGGCTGGCAACAAGACATATTTACTAACATTAAGTTTTCAACAATAACACAGTCACATTAGTTAAAACACAGAAAACAGAACACCTTGAGAAGAGCACGGTGAGACCAGATAAACAGAAACACTGGCTGTGATGTCACTTGTCATGTCGGCACAACAAGACGCAGATGATTGATTTTCTGTGTTTTTGTTCTGGCTCCCTGTGAATGAGGAAACAGCTGCACTTTGACCTTCTAGTGGTCACAGAACCTGGAGGAAAATTCTGCAATATATGTTTTATGTTATGGTATGAAAGAGAGTGATGCTGTCAGCACTGCTGTTTGACAGCATTGGCCATGAATTATTTAATATTACTGTAGATCCACCGTTATTGTTCTAATCTGTCAAGATGGCTCAGCCTTCAGATTTTTTTATTATTGTTAAAAAAATATCCACAATATCTGATGTAATGCAGAGTTATAAGAGTGTAAAAAAACACAACTTAACTGTAATTATGTATCGTCAATCTTGCAGGAATGTACAGTACAGTGAAACAGCAAAAACCTGACACATGTGGCCCTTCGGTTGATGCAACTGTTGTTCACTGAAGCCTCATTAGAAATGGTTTCAGTTGAATGGCGGCTTTAAGAAGCCATTGAAAACAGGAAGGTATACAGAATTACACAAGAACTGGAAATTCAGTGGCAATGCATCTTATGTCATTATAAATCCAAATTCAAATCATTCTCCTTTCAATATCCAGCCATCTGTAAAACACAGTGGAGGCTCTGTCATGGTTTGGAGCTATATTTCAGCCAGTGGTGTTGATGAAAATACGAATGCAGACAAATGCCGTCTGATTTTGATTCACCATCTTCACCAGCTTCATTTTTCAGCATGATAGTGATCCCAAACACCGCCTGTCCAAGCATACTTAGAAGTGCACAATGGAATAATGTCAGCCATGGATTGGCCTTACTGGAACATTGTTAAGGCAGTGTGGGATCATTTTAAGAGAAAACTGAACAAAAGGAACAATATCCAAAGAAGAGCTTTCAGTGTCCTTGAACAAACCCGGAGAACCGTTCCTGAAGACATTCCAGGTTAAACTATCAGATCTTAATGTCAGCTAATCACATCAGTAGTTCAAGCACCAAAAAATAGCAGAAAGAAGAATGATCCCTGCTATTCCCCTAATCAGTAGTTAGGCCAACGTGTGGAGGACGGATTTCTAGGTTACCTGAAATGTTAACTGGTGACCTTTAGTGATAATTGAGTAGTGTTTTAATAGAGAGGAAAATTAGAGTTACAGAACAATTCGTATGTATTTCAAGATGAGTGTCTCATAGATGAGTCTACTGTCGATGCATGCACTGGCCATTGAAGCGGAGCAGCAAGCGCAGGCAACACATGTAAACACAGGCAAGTAGCAGCAGTAGATTAAAATCAATGGGTGTCTGTTCAGGAAGTTCGAGAATAATTTGCGTGTCATGTTTATGAAGTTAGTTGAGATACATATTAAATCTTAAGCTCTATGCAGCTAGTTTGTCATGTTAGTGACACAGTTTTCCTCTGTTTAATTTAGTTTGTCTATAATTAGATATTCTACTTTAGTGCGTCATGGAGAAAAACTATGTGAGAGAAACTACAAGACACCATCATCAGTTACATTTTGCTGCACAGTCATAATACAGTGATTCTGTTATTTCATTAATGTGAACCTGTCCTCACTGGAGTATTTGGCTTTGTAAATAGAGTCCACTGCAATGAGGTCAGAATATTCAAGATTCATTATTGTTTATAAATATCTATACACCAAAATTATATTGCACTCAAGACTGACTCAATAAACTATGGAACTCCAAAGTGTTCAATGACAAAGTGAACAAATTTTACTTTAAATTCTTGAAATGTATTCTATTAAAAATGTATATATGTACATAGATATTAGGGGTGCAACGATACACAAAATTCACGGTTCGGTTCGGTTCGATACTTTGGTGTCACGGATTCGATATTTTGTCGATACAAAAAAAAAATGTTCAAGCCTTTTTAAATTGTCATTTATTAAAATTATAAATATATATTTTAACTCAAAAGTACAGTTTTTAAATTTAATGTTGCTGAAACAACAAAGTAATAAAAAAATAAATCTATCTGATCGAGAAATCCCTCATCTTTGGAAAAGAGAGTTTATTACAGAGAAATGTGTCTTTCCAAAATAAAAGCTATACTATA